GGCCGCGCGGCGGGAGGCGGCGCCGCCTGCGCCAACGAACCCTCCTTGTGAAGCGGCCGAGGGGGAAGAGCTCGAAACGTGCCCTGTTCCCTCCCGCGTGTGGCGGAGGTGCTAGGTGGGAAAGCTGGGCCATCTTATCCCCCTCTCAGGCTTAAACACAAGGGAAGAGTTCTATTTTTTTAAAAATGAGGAATTACGGAATCTTTGTTTTTTTCAAAGATACTGCGTCTTGACTGAGCCCTGGGATTCAACCTAAACCATACAGTGCACATTATAGCTCAGGGAGAGTGGGTATGAATGCTCATAACTTGGGGTTTAAGTCACCCCCAACTCCTCTGCAACTGCAAGATGCTCAAGGCAAAGAAACAGGAACTCAGCACAGCCCAGATCATTAATAGATTTCACTACTGTTACTTAACATCTTTCTCTACCTAAGTTGAAGGGAATCTACACCCACTATTATTTTTAATATAACACATCACTTCAGCTATCATCGCCTCCCTCAGCTCCCAGGGTTCTCCTTCCACACAAGGCCCCACACTCTGGTCACACAGGGCAGAGCTCCGAGGGTTTTCAATATCCCTCCCCCTTAACAAAGACAACCCAGGGCTTAGTGAGAATACAGCTATTTTAATAATTCAAATAGCAGCTCGTTACGTCTCTTGTTTATTATACATGGTTGCACAATCTGAGGCTGGTTAAATACAGTCTGTTCTCAATATCTCTTGGAATTAGTTCCAGATTACAACATGCAAGTGACCATGAAAATATTTGGCTTTCAATTTTATTTTTTAAGGTCTGAACAGGCACTTACATGAGGGAGTTAAGTTTGCTCTCAAAGATATCCACATGAAGAGAAGTATCCTAGCATAAAGTACACAGAGTCTTTGTCGCTTTATCAAAGTGCCACAGTAATAAAACAGTTCTTACAGAAATGTAATTCAGTTATTTACTTACTCAGAAGGTAAGGTTACCAATGACACTTGCACCGAAGTTGAAAAGTCTTGGTTTAAAGGCCAAGTGAACTACAAGCGCAAGTTGCCTTCCACACAGCAGGCTTCATTTTAGGCCCAAGCCACATGTCTGATAACAGACCACAGGCTCCACTGTGAATAGATGAAGGCTAACTTGTTTGGAGAAATAGCTTAAACACTGTTTGTCTTAATCATCATGTACACATTTAATCTGCTTTGCTAGACAAGCTTCTAATAGTTTTGAAGCTCACCTGACTTCAAAATGCCTTTCTAGAAGCCTCATAACAGGCCTCAATGGACTCAGGAGAATGTCCTTTGAGGATGTTTTGCCTCTCGTATGAGGACAGTGAGGAAACAAACTGTGGAGACAGTGGAAGTGTGAATCCAGGAGGAACAGCTGTGTATTTGCAAAATAATCAACATTACCAGTGCTTGTTTCATGAATAAGGGATAACTACTTTCACATATTTCAACCACTCACCACCTCAAAGTGAAATAATGAGAGCACCTCTACTCTCACTGGTTACTGGGCAATGAACCTTAAGAGGCAGAAGTCACTCGGATGAAAGGCTGAGGAAAAGTACAGTCAAATGAATTTTGTTTTGCTTTGCAATTAGATCCTTACTAATTATCTTCATCACTACCAGAGTCAAAGCTTCTTTAAAACCTTGGTAAGGCAGCTGAAGTCTCCAGTTACCATATCCCTAGCGTCTATACTTGCAGTTGGAGTTAAATCCTGCTATGATAAACAGAAGTCTTTTAGGGCAGAGTCCACCATAAGCCTTGAATTTTAGTGCGATTTAGTAAGTTGTCTTACTGTGGTTTCCAAAAAAAAAAAAAAAAAGAGCAGATAAGCAACATTTGAGAGACACATGCAATAAACAACATGAATGGAAAAGGGAAATGTTTTAGTCTACACAATACAAGTGGTCAGCAAAATCAAATATACAAGCCTACCATACATGGAAATAACTTGATTAAAGCCTATGCATATCCAAGTGCATTACATCATCAAATAAAAGTAAATGTGCAGTATAAAATAGTAGCTTAAGAAAGTTCCAGTGTTTGAGAAAGCACTTTATTTTAAATGTATATACATACTTGAATGTTTAACTGAAGAATATTTTAGTAGTATGGCAAATGCAGCACTGCAAGATGAAGGAAGACAGTTGTAATGGGAATTTTGGCCTTCGTTTCCCACAGGCTGCTGCCATCTTTAACCTGCTGAAGCACTGCAAGAGTTTTTCACCTCATACCAGTTCACATTTCAGGTTGCTCAGCAGATGCTTGTGATTCTGGCGATTCAAATCGCTGGTGAAAGTTTGTTCGTTGTTTCCGCAGTTTCTCGGGAGCTTTTCTCCACAAAATTATTTCCTATTGAGAAAGTAAACGCTTGACTGAACCATTCACCACTTTGCTAACATCATCAAGTATCACTGTGATAAGACTCTCCTAAGCAAAGGATTTTGAAAAACTCTACATTGCTCCTGTATTGCACTGTTCTGTAATTAGGGTAGAAGCAAGAGACAGGCCTCAGCAGACACCTCCCAGGCTATTCTAAGCCCTACTTTGACTGCATAAAGGGTTCAAGCAGTTGTTGTTCCTCCTTTCCTACTAGATTTGAAGCCTGCAATAGCCTTATTATCCTCCAGGCTCCTTGTTTTCCACTTTAAACTATATTACCCTGTCTATTCTTTAGAATGAAGCCTCTGACCTACATAGCTTCATTCCAGTGACCCTTTTCATATCGTTCCTTTCTTCTGCAAGCCCTCAACTGCTGAATTTCAGTCAAGTTTCTTAATCTTTTGTATAATTTTGCAGTTTTGAACCCAAGTTATTCCTACAAAAGGGAAATCATCTGTAATGGTTTAAAAAAAAAAAAAAAGGGGGGGGGGGCAAGCATTGCATCTGCAGCTCATTTTAGACAAATAAATTTGAGTATTGAGTGTTCACACTGCAAAGTTCCTTTATGGCTGCATTTTCTGCACAGCTGACAATACACCAGACAAAAATACTAGAGCTATACACAGAACGGGTCGTTTTTCATGTGTCAAATATTCAAAGCAGCCTGTTTAACAGTCCAGGTAACTTATTGCAACAAGATTGCTAGAGACCATACCTGTTGTTTGAAGTATCGTCTGTCTTCTTCATCCACAAGCACTAGATTTAAGAAGTACCTCACTGAAAACTTTTTGTTTACATCCCTCATTGTAGGAGTTGGGTCATAGCCTGCTAAGAACAGTCTTATAGGAATTGATTCACCTTGGAAGAAAGAGTTTAAAAATCAGTTCCTGAAAACAGGGTGTCATTAAACAGTCTCCGAAGCTATTCCAACATAGTGGTAAAACACTTGCCTACAGAGGCAAGTGTGAAGCCAAAGATGGAAGCAGGGCAACCAGGCACAACCAAAGGGCCAGTGCCCAGGACTCTATGTACAAGCAAGTGCAGCACAATGGAGTTAAAATGAAGCACACACAGAATTTGCATGGTAAATAGGGACAAGTCATTAGGATCAAGTGAAATGCTTTTAGTCAATGAAAATATCTGCTTTGAATATGAAAAAAAAAAAATCCACCCTCATTTCAGCAGCCTAAGGAGAAGGAGTTTCGCCAAGAAAAACTTATCAAAATCAACTCCTTCAGAAGGGGTAGGGGGAGAAAGGAGGTGGTGGCGAAGGGGAAGGAAGGGAACAGAAAGTTTTAACCTAAAGTGCTCCCTCTTTAGAACCAAAGCGTTATTTACCAAAAAGTTATTTACCTTTAACTGGTGCACCGTCCATTATTTCATACTTTGCAATGGTTTCAGTCTCTGTTGTGGTACTGGGCCCTGGTCAAACAAGTTTTTACTTTGAGAACACACACTTCCTTTTTAAATACATTTACAAGGCAATTTTTATCACAGCAATCTCTACATTGCAGCATTCAAATGGCAGGATACTGCATTTTTTTCTTGCCTCTAAGTCATCAAAGCAAGAAAAACACCAGACCAGTTACACACAGATGGCACAAAGTCATCCCATGAGCAGTGTCTGCTTCTTGCTCCCTCCTCCCCACACTGAGGGGGAAGAGGCAGCAGCTCATGTTTCCAGGGATCCCTGTCTACAAAGGCTTTGGATAAGGGGCAAGCGCACAGGGTAACCCCTCTCAGGCGTGTTCAGAAGGCAGTGCTACTTACTTTGACACTCCTAGTCAATGATCAGACTGGAAATTTAAAGATCCAGCAAAAGTAGCACCTTTTCCAGAGCCACCTTTCTTCAGGCCTTAGGATGGTTAAGTTGTAGGGCCCAATTTATCCAGAAGCAGCAGCAGCAAAAGCAGCTTTTTGTCCTTCCTCTGTGACTACAGAGGTTTTCTTACTCTCCACATAAACAGCTCACTATGGCCCCAGGCACTGACAAAGAAGCCATGAGCCACAGCCTCTTCCCACCTCCCTGGCTGCAGGGTGTGCAAGCCTGACCAGGCTGTTGTTGCTTCAAAGCTTCTGATATTTTCATCAAAATTAACCAAGTGACATATTTCCAGAGTGTGAAAGGGGGCTTCACCAAGCCCCTTTGCCAGGTTCTCAGAGGTGAAGGGTTTTTCCACAACACATTTAACACCCTCCTTGTTTTTTTTTAATCCATCAAGGCTGCTTAAACTCTTGCATATTTACACCTGAGTTCAATTTGCAATGAGTCACATTTATCAGGTAGCTAGCCCAGAATGTGAGCTATCAAGTGTGATTGCTGATGCCACAAACATCAGTGAGGAGAAAGCACATAAGGATCACTCCAGCCAAAATGGGGACTTTTGGCCTCGTTCACTTGGTTTGTCTGAGCTCAACTGACATAGAAGCTGCCATCTCCCTTGAACTTTATTTCTCTTACCAATTCCAGTAATCTCCTTTTTGATCAGCTGCAGCTCCATGTGCTGAATTTTTATTCTCACTAAGAGGAAGTAAATTTTTCCAACAATCACATCCTTTAAGTGATACCTTTAAGAGAACAGAACAGGGTTTTCATTAACAAAGAAAAACACCACTTTTACACCCTCTTGAAAGTTACATGGGCAGTTACTTTATCTGCCTGTTAATTACTCAGAGCTTACTTCCAAGATAAGCATCTCAGCCAGACCAGTTAGCATCTTTCCCTTGCCATTTGAAATCAAGTCTTAAAAAATTGTTGCTGACATTCTTTTTAGTACTGAGAGCAGAAGTATTTCTCAAAGGTGGCCACTGTACAATTACAGCTCAGTATCACTTTAAATTATGCTTTACATTTCTCAATATCTCTGGGTATCAGGTTGCTCGACAAACATTCAGTAATCTATATTCTTCTCTTCAGATATTTACTTAGATGTCTTTTGCTCCAAATTACACTTACTTGGATTTATTGTATTCAAACTCTATGTGCAGGCAGTCCTCAATGCCTACTTCCATTTTAATTGAGTTGTTCACATCTGGGTAGGTAGCAAGCTGGTGAACTATGAGCTCATACTCCTTTACCAGGTCTGTCAGCCGTCTTACTATTGTTGCTTTTAGGAAATACCTAGGAAAAACCACCAAGGTGGCAAGAATTATTCAGAATTACATCAGCAAAGGGGTCCATGTTCCAAGACACAGGTGCTCTTTGAAAGAACATTCTCTCTTAAGAGAACATTCTTTCCTTAAGAAAGGAATATGACAAAAATCCACATAACGTGGTTGTGCCTTGACTGGAAGTCACACTAGTCAGTAACTATTAGCCGAAGGACAAAATAAAACCCACACGCACTGGGGGGTCACTGCTTCTATTGCCCACCCAAACTAATGGCCATAAATACCTGTCACTTTGCCCTGTCACTGCTGTTTCTCTTGCACTGGTGCAAGTCACTGCAACACAACTGCTTTTACAGAAAGTCCCATTAGCACTGTGCATTCAACAGAGCACAACACTGCACAGTGTGGGAATTCCTGCATGATCATGATTTAAGGATGAATAAGACAACAGATTTCTCTCTGAAGCCATAATCAATGTCCCACGGAGTAGCTTAGCATTTTAAAATGAGGTACAAGGTAGCTTTCAGCATCGAATTCTCAGGCTGCCATTTGTACATTTCAACAGTTCTGTTTTGATGTTTTTAAGTTCACAAAAGCCCATCAGGCACTACTGTTCTAACAACAGTTTTACTCTCAGGATAGCAGTGAAATTGCACCCCTGCTCCCCACTTTTTTTTTTCCCCCCCACCCCAGGGCAGGGAGGAATAAGGAGCTAAATTAGAAATGCTAAACATTAGAATTTGCTTAAGGGAGCACTTGAGAGTTACAAACCTCAGTCTGACGTTGGCACCAATGTATGACTCGTATGGCTTCTCAACCTGCATGAATTCAAAGTCATAGCTTCTGCTCTGGGTCAGTTCTCCAGGTAAGGCCAGTTCTTTTACTAAGTTTACAAATTCATGGGTGTTACTTTTGTCATTGAAGAGCTCTAAAAATAAGTGGACAGAAAGCATGTTTCAGCAGTTTAGCAAACACAACCTTCTCTATTTTGGCAGGAGCAAGCAGAAAAGGAGAAAGGAAGCAACTACTTCCAAAACAAATTGACAGATATATGTTAGAAAGCTTTATCCACTTCTTTAAAGTTACCTTAAACTTCAACAACCTACAGTAAGTATTTCTAAAATACCACATGCAAGGCAAAGAACAATTATTTAAAGCTTTACTAGCATATGCTTTTTATGCCAGTCCAGCTAACAAAGTATTTCTTGCCTGCAGCACTGCCTGGTTCAGCATTTCTTTTGCAGAGATTGAAGCATTCCAGAAAAGAGCAAGTGAACTGAACACATCCTCAACCTCAGGTTATCATTGCAGACTTGCTAAAAACAGACGTTTTAACTATTTACTGTTTATTTTCCAAAATGACTACAAAGACACTAAGCTGCACTTTATTTGCTATGACAGGTGTTTAAATAAATGTTTTTTGCAGGTCAAAGGAAGTTGCATTCTGAAAAGGACAACTTAGGTTTAAAGCAAGTTTGTGACATGCAGCTAGATCTAGGCTCCAAGCAGGGCAGAGACAGTATTGGGATGTTTTTGTATTACTAGATGAATTCAATTCAATAGAGGGTGCAAGAAAACATGAACACGTAGGAAGAGCAGTGACTAAGATAAGTCACTTCCCCATAACAACTCCTTGAGAAATTTTAAACTTTTAGAACTATAGAAAGATGCCTAGAAACAAACAAAAAAAATCAATACGTCAGTTGAAACTTGTCTAGCAAATAAAAATCCATGCATCAGAGCCGATTAAAAACAACTGGCAAAGTTAGAGGACAGCAAACACTGAAGCTGACATAACACAGCTTTATTACTCTGCTCTCAAAGTGCCTCATTCCCATCGCACTGCTGCTTTATTCTGGGGGTTTGCTTTTACATCACCACTGACCACAGTCTCAAAGCATCAAGTAGCACATTTCAGAAATTAGTCACGCCTGCTGTGTAACAGTTCACAGAAAGGCTACTGGAGCCCAGGGGCTGAACAAAAATAGAAAATTTATGAAAACTCAATGTATGAGGCTAAAATTTGAAGACTAATTTCAGAGTGGGACATCAATGCACATAGCTCTCTAACAAAAAAAAGAGGGAATTTTAGCATGAGCTTAAGGACACTAAAGGATTAGATGAAGTGGCAAGAAGAGATTAGATATGATAAAGCTATCCAAATCTGGCTGGGTCTTGAAGAAACAGATATTTATGTGAATGCAACATAATCTTGTTAGAGAGAGCAGTGATCTTCTGAAGTTTCAATCCCATTATATGTCACTAATATGCAACTATGCTTTATAAAACCAGCCACCACAGAATTATTTCCAGAAAAATCTCACTGCTCCATCTTTTTTTCTATGCCTTTTTTGTCCAGGTCGAGAACTAAATGCCAAAACTGAGACCTGACAAAATATGTACAGCTGATATTTTGGGTTAAAATCTCAAATGCAGATGAAAAGAGAGGCAGAAAACAAACAGTAGTTTGATTCTCAGTTTTCATATCAGGGCCATTCATTTATAGTTCTTTTCAGGGGTGTTTTAACTTAAAAATGAGTAGTCTGAAATGCATGAAGCAAAAGCCATGTTTATCATGGCCACATTTAGTTCTCTGAGCCCCTGGAAAACTTCAGCTTCGCAGCCAGCCTCAAGCAGACACAATGCTCTTCATCCCAGTCCTCTCTCCCCTTACTGTTCTGACTGGCACAAAGCACTATCACCCACGTTAAACTAGGGAGGCAATACTTCCCCTGGCACTTATCGTTAACTAACCTGATCAGGCTGATGAGCCAGACTGCTGCTAGTCACAAATGCAAAGATTCAAAAATTACACCTATCTAACACCCGCTTTATAGCTTCCAAACTCACCAATTTGTCCTACAAATTCAATTCTAATTCCTTGGTGCTCTAGCCTCTTCCCATGCTGCCTAAAGGAGATGTTCACCTACCAAAGAGAGGAAAAAAAAAAAAAAAAAAAAAAAAAAAACACACACAAACAAAAAGTTAGTTTTAAACACCATTACTTTACAAAATGATCTTAAAGAGAAAATACATCATTAAAACATGTCCGTTAAAAATGTCCTGGGCTTGAAGGCAAACAAATCAAACAGTTGATGATGAAATTAAGGATCACCCACCAAGTAAACTATGCAAGAAAGATCTAGTTATCCACATGTCTAATTTGGATAACCAGTTTTGAAATTCCCAGGTCCCACAAATGAAAGACTAAGCCAGAGCTTCTGCAGAGTTCACACAAGCCACCCATGACTCTTAACCACCCTGGAAGGCTGAAATCTTCAAAACGTTTCCCAAGAGTCTCATTAGGATTTAGATATCTAAAAAACAGTGGTCACAAAATGTGTTCCTTTCATGCTTAGTGAATTTAAACCCCTTCCTCAGCAAAACTTTTAGAAAAGTCAAAGCAAAAAAACAACAGACAAACAAACCTACTATCAAGACCTTCATACCCTTATATCAGTGACATCCAAGTGCAAGTAAAGCACATGGACAAATTGTCTTTACGATGGAAAGAAGAAATGTAGAGGGAGAGGAAGGCGCCCAGCAAGTTACAAGTCTTCCAGACCTCCTGATCCAGTTGTGATTGTTAGTCAGAACTCCTCAAGCACTTCTCAGGAGCCCCTGAGAGAATCAAGAAGTCCTTAGACCAGTGAACATGAGAGCTGGTTCCTCTGTTCCCCAAGTTTGCCACATATCTCGTGAGAGTTTCACATCCCTGAAAGGATCTTTCAAGAGGATCAGGCTCCTAATATGGAAAGACATCTGAACAGCAGGAAGAGGCCCAGCAGCAACAGATCAATTAAGAATTAAGTAAGTATTTAGAAGTCAATCCCAGAGGCAAACAACTGGATTGAGCTTCTAGGAGAAAAAGTGAATTAGAACACTCAATGCACAACTATTGTAAAATCAGAGACATCACACGGAATTCTCAGATGCAATACTGAAAGGTGAGGAATCCTTCTGGCAATCTTAGCTTCCCCCCCACCCCAAAAAGAAAACCTACTGTGGACTGGACAACCAGCTGAACTTCAATACATTGCTCCTCTGATGCAATTCCAGAAATGGCCTCAGAACATGAGGCAAAAGACTTGGCTTCAGGATACGCAAAACAATTCAGCTGCATCAGCCAGTAATTACTGTTACGTGTGAGATATTGTGGATTTGGGAGCTGAAGGGGAAGAGAAGAGAGGAGGAGACTCAGTTGGAAATAGTTTTATTTTCAAAACCAATGACAAGACTGCACAAACAGTTTCTCCATCAACACAAGATAACTAGGGACAAATCAGCAGCAAACAACCACTGAAAAGTCTCAGTTTTGTCAGTTTTCTCAGTAACTTCTTCCAACAGAGGCTGGAAAGACCAGATACGGGAAAGGTTTTTTTCCCCCTCCTCTGATTAGCAACATGAGCTGTGATTCCAGTTCCAGCTGTTGCCTCTATCAATTATCATGTTTTAACGTAGTCACACACCAAAATCCGCACAGCAACTCAGAGTTATTCAGGAAAAAAAAAAATTACCTTTCCAGAAACAGACTCGCCATCATAGAAGAGATAGTGCTTTTCTATTTTACCATCTTCTGTTTTGATCTCGGCTGGTTTTCGTGTTTCAGCATCATTAAGGACAACATCAATCTCACAGACAGGACCAAAAAAGCCTCCAAGGAAACTCTGAAATAAGAACAACTGGGTTAATTACTAACAGTAAACATTCCATATTTTAACATGTGTTACTTATTCACAGCTGTACACTCTAAGTTGGGAAACAGTCTTGTAGTGGATGTACAGGCTTTTTTAAGTAGAAAAGAGCCTGTGTTAAAGACCCAAGAAATATCACGATTATTTCGGAAATTTGTTCATCTAGAAAATAACTGAAATAGGAGCAGTAACAAGGAGAGGCTGCTCGTACAAAATACAATGTTTATAATAAGCATGCAGTGTAAGTACTGTTACTACAATTTTATTAAGATACTACTAAAATAAACACTATCACTGTTGTAAACACAACTTTGGCTCTTGCCACTGCAAGATCTCTCCTCGTGTTTACTATTAAATCATTGATTTCACTTTCAAATGTGAATCACTTAGCCATACTTAAAAAAAATGCTAACAAATAGATTCCATCAGGTTTAAGAACCATCAGGTTAAGATGTTATGAAAAAAACACTCACTGTTTCATATCCACTGTAATTTACTGCATAAAAAGCAGTAAAAAGAAGGAATAAAGAAGCAAATTAGGATGCTTTAATCTGAGGGAAAAAAAAAAAAAAAAGGCAGCCCAGCTAATGGGGAATTTAACAACAGGTCTATAAAACTCCTCTGCGTGGAGAGGGTAAATGAGGAACATTTGTCTGCTGGCTCTGCTAGGAAGCTCTCAGGCCACAATATATCAGGACCTAGAGCAGTGCTGTGAAGTATTAAATGTTCACTCTGGCCTAACACAACAGGCCTTTGCTAGGCATGAGCATCTGCCCAGTATCAAATACAAGAGGCTAAAAGATCATCCCTTGACCTTGCACAAGCATTTCTTGGAAGAAACTGGAAAACATGCTAGCAGCTTTATGGGAACTCAACAAGATTAGTACAAAGGCCTCATTTTTTTTTCCCCCAGCTTAATCCATTAATCTTCTTTGATGTACTAAAGCAGACAACACTTTGGTAACTCACCAACGTCTCCTTTTTGGAGAAATCACAAGTTAGTTTTCAGTGAACTTTGCAGATTTAATATCAAGAACTCAGGTCATAAGAACATGTTCAAAACATTTTGGGGAGCTGAAAGTGCAGTCCTAAGTGTGTGTGTGTGTGTGGGGGGGGGGGGAAGTATCTAGTACAAAGTTTGATTATGTGAATGTTACTGCCCCAGAAACACGAATATTGGGGAACTGTTTTGCTCAAGTCCAGCAAAGGAATTGTGCAATTTTGAGCTATGAAACAGCACTTCAAGCAAGACTAAACTGATGGCACACTCGTTCAGATAGCGAATGTCCATAGTTCAGTCCCTGAAGATACATTTAACTATATAAGTGAAACCTGTATTAGTTACATGTATTCCACAGTCTCAGAGAAAAGCAATAACAGTCCAGAGGGAGGTTAAGCCTAAGACTAGAGGGTCCTCCAAGCCTTTGCCAAGAACACATTTGCATTCTTTGCTTAGACAAGCTTCTGTTTTGCACACTAGCCCTGATCTTGATTTGCAGCTCCTGGGAGAAGGGGAAATAGAGAGAAAACTTCAAGCATTCCCAGTCTTCCGGCTGTTGCACAGATTGCTTTGGGCATGCCCTTACCCTTTTTTTCCTTGGAAAACCTGCACTAATTTTCCAGCTAAGCCTCGTACCCGCTCGCCACACCAGGGCTCAGGGTTGCTGCTAATCCTGCTCACGCTCCAGCTGCACTCGGGGGGCACAGGTCTGCTGGCAGCTCACAAACGGCTCTGAAATCCCAGCTGCAGCCCTCGGAAAATCCTCTGCGTGCCCAACCACGATGCGCACGCTTCAACAACTCACGGTGCATTGATCCAGCCGACTCTCCGCGTTAAAAAAGGAGAAGAAAAAGCTCTATGCCGTGCATTAAGCACTTTATCTCGTCAGATCTGCTAGGGACGCAGCGCGGCCGCTGTCTCGACAGCGCAGCGGGATTAACAACCGCGGTCATCGTGAGGACCGCCGTCTCACAGGGACCGCCCGAGCGCCCAGCGCTCCCACGGGGATTTTTTTTTTTCTCCCACAGAAAAGATCTGTGC